TCGGGGTGTTGCGTAATTCCAACAAACCTCGATTGAAGTCCTCGCAGTCGATATTTCCTGAGGGTGACACCTTATGGATCAGGTGTTTAACAGTCTTGACTGCTGCTTCAGCGTGTCCATTCGCTTGGGGGTAGTGGGGCGAGGTCACGACATGACGGACTCCCCAACGGTCCATGAAGTCCCGGAACTCGTGGCTGGTGAACTGGGGTCCTCCATCAGTCCTGAGGCGGAGGGGAACACCAACTTCTCTGAAGTAATGCCTGAAATTCCGGATGGTAGCAGTAGCCGTTGTATCACTACCACAGGGGACGACAACAGGTCATCCAGACAATCGGTCGGCAATGACGAGGAAGGACTTCCCTGCCACTGCAAAGAAGTCGGCCGACACAGACTCGAAGGGTCTTGAAGGGTTATCGTCGCACATTAAAGGTTCCTGTTGCTGGCTGGGTTGCAGAATCTGGCACGGCTCACAGGCACGGACGGTACTTGCAATGTCCACGTCGATTCCGGGCCAAAATACAGTCTGCTTCGCCCGTCGCTTGGTGGCCTCCACTCCTCGATGGCTGTCGTGAAGGCGGGTCAAGGTACGGCGGCGTAGGGCAGCAGGAATGACTACTCGTGGACCATACAAGACGAGGTCTCTGTCACAATAGAGGTCCTCGCGTATCTTCCAGTACGGGAGTTGCGATTCATGAAGGTCATATCGGTTAGATGGAAATCCCTGGGACACACAGTCGACGAGCCGGATATAGGAAGGGTCGGCCCGGGCTGCTGTGTGGAGATCTTCAAGGGTTTGTCTGCATCCGGTGCTGTAGACTCTTCTGATGTGAAGACGGCCTTCAATGAAACTACTGACTTGAGGGATGCAGCAGCTGTAGAACACAACATCTCGTCCTCTGGGGTGGGGCGACTGACAGGGGCGCGGGACAGGGCATCCGGGATGCACAGCAGCTTACCCGCACGCCACACAGCCGTGAAGAGATAAGACGAGAGCTTCTCTTTCAAACGTTGAAGGCGAGGATTCTCTACTGCATCCAAAGAGTAGTGATTGATAATAGGTACAAGTGGGCGATTATCCGTGAAGAGGGTGAAGTGCTGAAATCCTATCAGGTAGAAGCGGCACTTCGCCATCGCCCAGACAACAGCCAACATCTCCAGCTCAATCGTGGCATATCGGGTCTCGGCGTCCGTCAGGAACCGGGATCCACACTGAATTAAGCGGAGTTGTCCACCGCCATGGTCCTGCAGAAGGGCGTAACCAACGCCGTAGAGTCTGGAGGCCTTAGTCTGGAGGACGGTGGGTAGGGCTGGGTCGTAACAGGCGAGGACAGGTGGACTTAAGAGGGCCTGCTTGACTCGCTGGAAGGCCTCTTGATGATCTGGGGTCCACAGGAATGTCCTCCTGGGGCTCAGCAGGGGGCGTAACGGCTGGGCTGCGGCGGAGATGTCAGGTGAAAATTCAGCCAGCTGATTGACCAGACCCAAAAAAGAACGGAGGTCTGTCAGGTTGGCAGGGGTTGGAAAATCCCTGATTCCACTTAATTTCTCCGGGTCAGCTGCGATACCTGATGCTGAGATAGTGTACCCACAGAAGTTCACTGATGGTGCGGCGACTACAAACTTGTCAGCGTTGAGGGTAATCCCGTACTTTCGACATCTGGTGAGACCTTCATATATTCGGGAGAGGTGGGCACAGTAGTCTTCGTCATGGAGTAAAATATCATAAACCACTTTGACACAATTCATGACTCCTTGAAGGGCCGCGTCACCACGTTGACAGAATGCATTGCCTGTAGCGGCAAATCCCATGGGGCCTCTGCAATACTGATATCTTCCATATGGTGTGATGAATGTAGTCAAATGCTGGTCTTCTTCGGCCAACTCGATCTGCCTATAACCACATAAGGCGTCCATCGTTGTAAAAAACTTCGCCTTCGGGTCCACATTTCGAACAGCTGCGAAGGGTGTGGGTGAAGGGTGGGCTGGACGGGAAACTTGCTGGTTAAGTTTTGATAGATCGGTGGTGATCCGTACTCCACCACGAGGTTTGGCGACGGGGACGAGAGGGTGGCACCAAGGTGAAGGTTCGTCTCCGGCCGGCTTGATGATTCCCTGAGCAACCATGGAGTCAAGCTCTTGTCTAACTAGCTCCTTGTAGGCGTGAGGAATCAAACGAGGGGTGTGGATGGCAAAAGGTGTGGCACCATCTTTAAGATGAATCTTCATAGGTGGACCCACCATCGGCTTGAGTGGTGTGGATCCTAAAGATTTCTTCGTAACCAACACGTCAGCAAACTCCTTGAGAAGGTAAGCTCTTGCATCAGAAGGGGACGTGTTAGTAGAGATAGGGAGTTCCTTCAACCTGTTGACATGGGTGATCTTTAAAATAGGTTTGGGGAATTCCTTGGAAATAATGGCCAACTCTTGACAATGGCCATATGATAAAAGCGGAGTCGGGATCCCATCATGAACATCAATCCGGGCTGAGCAAGACTGCTTACCAAAGGTAAGAGTAGCCCAGAAAGATCCCAAAGCTGGAGCCATCTTGGAACCATCAGCTGTCAGTTTCGTTGTCTGAGGAGGGGGCTGTAGGTTGCTCCGGGGTATTCCCAAACTTGCTAAGTGTTGTGGACCAATTACTGAGACGTCAGCATCGGTGTCAGGTAACATCTGAAGACTGGATGGCAAGTTACCGTAAGAATTGACGACATTGATGTGCTGGGGCGTCGTGTCTGTGGAACAATGTACACGACGGCAGGAACGACTGGACACAGCGTCTTGATGCTTGCCAGAAGGAGGGGGCGCGCCAGCACTACCTGAGGATGACTTCTTGGATCCTAGGTGGTGTCCTCTCTGTGTCTTCTTACGACAACATTTGTCATAATGGCCCACACGACCACAAAGTCTGCACTGAACTTTGCTAGCAGGGCACTTGACTGTGTAAGCCCAGTGACCCTGGCGGTCGCAACTTCTGCACACGCTTTGAGCAGCTGGGCACTGGGTGGCATCATGCTGTCTCGCACAGCTGTTACACAAAGCTGCTGCTGAAGGTGTAGCTGGAGGGTGAGGGGTGGGGTTACCTTGCTGCTTCTTACCCTTTCTGTAGGAAGACACCGCCCTCACCTGGTCAGGTTGTGAACGTAAAGCTGAAGTCGCACACCTGGGGGCCTCGTACGCTCGACATTTTGTAACAACATCTTGAAGGGAGGAAGTGGGGTCAAGTGAAATGAGACGCTGAACTAGCTCTTCATCTCGAACACCCGTTAAAATAATTGTCTTGAGTTGTGTCTCTTCACAGACTTGAGAATTTCCAGGACAAACATCAACTTCCTCTGAACACCTTTTGAGCCTTACAAAAAATGCATCAAAAGATTCTCCATCAAGCTGCTTACATTGGAGGAGTTCTCTTCTTCTGAGTGCTTCGTTGCGCTGTCCCTTAACATGTTCCTGTAACGTGTCGAGCACGGCCTCTACCGTCAGAGTTGTCGTAGGAGGCACTTGAAGTGTGTGCTCGAGAGTACGTTGTGTCTCTAAGGACAAGCACATACGAGGCTGTATCATCTGTTTAGGCTGTGGTAAACTTGACAAGTCAACCATTGTTGCATAGTCTTGCCAACGTCGACGCCATTCCCGAAATATCTGATAAGAAGCGTCAGACTTCAGAGAGGGAGGCATTTGTGCTGCAGCCTTTTGAGGAATTGTTGAATCGACTCTGGGAAATGAGGTACCAGTACCTCTAGTCGTATCAGCGTTAGTAGTAGCAGACGAATCTTGTGCAGTAGATCGTTGTGGGGAGGCGAACAGAGAAATCAAGACTTCAAATCTGGCTTGATCCTCTCTTCTTCTCAGGTCATCCTCACTTCTACGTATATCTTCTAGTTCTCTGCGCCTTTGTTCCTCTTCGTGGCGCCGTTTTTCAGACTTTCTGTACCGAATTTCTTCCTCATTTCTCCTTGCAATATCATCCTGGCGTCGAGAAGTTTCCATCCACTTAATCAGTTGAAGGAGATCTGTGGACGCATGCATCGCAGGAGAGCTTGCTCGCGATGAACGAGGAGATTCTGTGGGTGCTTGGGCGTTGTCACTGTAGGGAGCATGGGGCCTGAGTGTGGGTGGGGAGAGGTCTCCCAGACTAAAACTCGTAACTCCATTGTCCAGGGTATCATTTTGATCCCTGTGAGACATGCCGACAGCTTCTGTACTCTATCTGTGCAAAAGACCGGGTCAACCCCTCGTAATCGATGCACAGAATTACAGAAGTCTGAAGTAATTCGCAAGAATTTAATATAAGGTGGGTCTGTGAATGCGTGTGTGTGTGTGTGAGGCTTGGCGCGCTGCCAGACGTAGGAGCAGCTGGGCAGCGTCGAGCACTGGTCAGTTGTCCTCAGTTACCCTGTGACCAGAGACGGGAGCGGATGCACTGCTGGACAAGCTCCCTTAGTCATCCGACCGCAATTTGCACAGACAGTTATGATTAAAATACACAACACAGCACTTCACAAAACACTTCACTTCACAGCACTGTACACAGCATAGCACTTCACAACACTGTAAGTCTAGAGGCTTGTAGTAGTCTTGCTGTAAATCCTTGAAGCTGAAGACGAGACGCCATTAACACAGTCCGGGCGGGAAGGCTTGTCCACTGTATCTCACTGAGAAATATTCACTGCGCCATCTATGTTTGCCTTTGGTACCACCAAAATGTTCTACACTACTGAGGGTATACACAAACACTTGTTATCTTAAAAATAGGTTCTTATTCTCTTACGGGAGATATACAGAGATGGACCAAGAAACTCGCTTCCACACCATAAGGACTGGTGGTCTTCACTCTATGTATCACTGTGCGCTAGCATGTACAGATGCCAGCATTCACAAGCTGAATACATAAAATGTAAATATGATAATTCATATACATAACATGGTGCATAATAAATGGAAATATTACATAGAATTAATATATGTTCTGTAATACTTTACTATACATAATTAATAGGGTAATATAAGGATACACAGCTTAAGGTACTACTTCGTGTTCATATTATACAATTTTGACACCATGTTTTTGTGTTTTCTCTCTAAAGATGGGAAAAGAAGATAATTTTATGCAGTTTTTCTTTTATCTAACTGCATATTCCTTGCAGACAGTATCAGAACAGATGAAGATGGAGGGTCATCAGCCAGGGCCAGAGCAGTGTAAGCGCAAATGGGCTAATTTGGCCACTGGTTTCCATCACCACAAGTCAGAGGCAGAGGCAACAGGCACATGCCCACTCTGGCCTTATTACACCAAGGTCAGGCATGTTATGAACCTTGTTGGCCTTCCTCCTCCAGGTGAGTTTCAAGGCTGTGTTGTACTGTACTACGTTCATGTGGAATGTCACAACAAAATTTTTTATTCCTCTAACCTAACTTAACCTTTTTAAGTGACAATTAACAAATACATAAATTAAGCTTAAATAAAACAATTCATCACTTGCATACTTTTATGATATATTATTTGATATTTAGTCATGTTTCTCTTTAGGGTAGAAATAATCACAACCCATATCCATTATCCAGATGTGCTTAATGTCATCCTGTAGGTGAAGAGTTGCTGATGATGTGTTGACAACTTATGTTTTATCTGATTCCATGTATTCTCTTTCTCAGGTTTATGCTCAGTGAGTTCTTAGGCAACTCCAGCTCTCAAAAATATTCTTCCATATGCTCTACGAGTCGTTGTTTTATGGGGCAGGATGAAATGACTTGTTCATCTCCTTTTGCAGTCGGCATTGAGTTGCTTGTTGCCCTGAAGCATCCTGAAGGAGGCTGTGATGGGATTGCTTAATTTTTGCTGCAGATGTAGTCAGATTTTTCATAAAATTTTCATCTCATAAGTATTTGGTTGGTCTTGGAGATCTTTCTTGGTCTCTCTGGAGATGTTGTCTGAGGTAGAACAGAATTGGCAGAAAAATTATGTGCCATGTTCGTTAAAATTTTGCTGTGCCTCGCTGCTTGCTTATTTGCTTTACTGGCTTTCAACATCTGAGGTCATTATGGCCATAGTCTTGTTAGTTTTATGTTCTCGTTCTCTTTTGTTCTTTTTCTTTTGGACGGTCCACATTTGATCATCATCTTCACATATATTGTTCTTTGTTTTCTTGTTCTTCATGGTTTCCCTCAGAGTAACTTTTTCCTCCAGCAGAGCGAAGTTGTCAGCCTTTTCCTCATCTAACAGTGTTCTTAGGACCCAAGATGACTGTTTTCAGAGAAAAATTGGGATTTTTTTCTGTCCTCAGAATGTGGCAGAAACTGATGCAGTACAACCCCAATATACAGCTAAACATTTGTACTGTATTAGCTTTGGGAGACTCATGCATAAAGGCCTGAGGCACCACTGAGTTGGTAAATTAAAAATTTTACCCTTGATTCAATTTGGTGAAAGTGGGTCCCATAGTCATGACTGCCTGTTAAGGTCAGTATGAACACAGCACACTGTATACTAAACCTTCGGTACACAAGGAGACAGCTTGGTCGGTACTACTCTTGACCATATTCACTTCCCCAAGTTATAAGCTTGGGTACCCATTTACAGTTGGGTAAGCTGGGAGCGTCTGGGAATAGAACCACCGACCTCTGGAACAAGAGGCGAGTGCTGTATCCACTCAACCACCACGTTCCGTTGGTGGGCTGTTACCGAGGTCTAATTTAACGTAAAAAATTGCTTAATTATATAGCAAGGATGAATATTTTTTTGTGGGCATATTAGGTCATATGGTATATCATTCAGACACCTTCATCCTGGAATAAATATAGTAAATACCTTGTGGATCATCTGACAGTGAAGCATTACCTCATGCACTCTTCTTGCATCTTGGTAAACTTAGTCGGCGGAGCGTCATCACTGTTCCTTCTTTTGTATCAGTTGTTCTTGTGTGTCATTCATGGGTGTTACTTCCTGTTGCGTTCATTGCTTCCATTCCTGTTTTTTCTCAGATGCTGAAGCTGGTAATAGACGGAAGCGCAGAATGAAAGGAACACGTAACAGCCCAAAAAAGAAGATCCAAAGATACTTTAAACAAGAGGTGGAAGACTATGATGATGGCTTACTAGATGAACCAGTGAAGGATATGGATGAAAATATGGAGCCGTCAACCTCAGCACCTGGAGGATCTGTCAGATTAACAAGTGAACAAAATGCTACGGTTCTACCTGGTGACGTTAAAGAAATTTGTCAAAGATTAGAGCACATAGAAGAGAATTTGGCCGTCTGCCGCAGACTTGATCGCTTAGAAGCCAAGCTCGACGATGCAGCTAAGCAGAGAGAAGCACAACGTCATACTAATTCTCTGCTGACTCAGGTTTTATCAGAACTGTCACGCCTCAGTCGCACCTTGAGCTCTCGTTACCTCCATCAAGGGACAGGACATGATCAAACAGACCTCGGTGCAGGAATAACAATAGTCGTGCCACATAACCAGCATTTAGATTGAATTGTGAATGAAATCTTGAAGGAGAGATATATTATAAGAGCAATAATGGTAATCAGATAGAAAGTCCTTATATTGCTTGTTGCATTCATAGAGTTAATTTAATTGAGGTTTAACAACTCATTCAGGGAATAATAAAAAGGACTATGCATAGTGGGATATAACTGTGCATGTGGATCAAAGAAAGTGAGAACATACAGTAATTTGAGCATTGTAAAGGTTTTGGTTAATTTAGTGTGAGGTATTGAAGACAAGAATTATTGTTTGACTTTGTCGAGTTTTGAGTGCTAGTGAATTATTTAGAAGAACTGGCACTTTTGAGAAACAGTAGACTAGTTGTTTTTATTAAGATTTTTGTTTATTTTTTATTATAAGACCAATACATTTAGTAACAGTGATCTACAGAAAAGTTTATAGGTTATGGAGGCAGAGTTTTGACCCGTTATTGCTGAACCCAATTAATGACAGTAATAATTAGCATAAAATTTTATACAACTATAATAGAACGAGTAATAACTTGTACAGTAGAACGTCGATATAACACGAGATAGGTTCCAAGAGAGGTCGCTTTAAGCCAGCGCACTAAATCGAAGTGTTGTTTCAATGGAATAATTTAGTTTGGTACTTGAGAGAAACAAAATACTGAACTAAAAAGACAGAGTCTACCCAGATGCACCTCAGCCCATCTCCTAGAATAAATAAAACATTGTTTTTTGGAGTATTATGTTAAACCAAACTGGGAAGATAGGGGGAGGGAGGGAGGTGAGGTGATATGTTTGACAGTTGATGCCAAGGTCTAGTGCTTATTTATTTTATCTGTCCTTAAGAGTGACTTTAAGGTTTTCTCTGATAAAGTGTCACTGAACTGACATGGGAGAATATAATAAACATTGGTGGAATTCTTATAAGATGGTGATTAATTTGAATATAAACATGCTATAGCTCGCATTAGACATACAAATTTTAGTTCTAATTTAAGAGTTTTATTACAAAGCAAAAACTTTTATCTCGTGCAAAATATATGACGTTTATTTTCAAATTATTCGCTGTCTTGCAAGGATTCCAGCAATACAAATTATATTCTAACTTTAGTCTGTGATATTATAGAAGATAAAAACTTTAAGCCTGGAACACCAAAACCTGGCTGGGAAGATGGGGGCGGGGTGACAGTGACATGTTTGACAGCTGGCGCTGAAGGTCTAGTGAAGTATTTATTTGTTTATTTATGTCCTTTAGCTTGAGTTTATGTTTTTCTCCTATAAAATGTCACAGAAGTGACGGGGGAGAATATAATTTACATTGCTGGAATTCTTATAAGATAGTGATTAATTTGATTATGAACATAGTTTGCACTAGACAAAAATTTTAGTAATCATTTAGTACATTATTTTGAGTACATGTACAGTACAGTTTTGTCCTTAGGACAGTGTAGCGTGCCCAGAGAAACATTAGGCGCAAATTTTTAAATATGACGCGCCAGATTGACTCGCACAAGATAGGAAAGATTCACTTTAAATTAAAAAATTGTCCTTAATTGAGGGTGTCGCTTTAAATCAATAATCTTAAATTGAATCGCTTTAAATTGACGCTCTACTGTATATGATTCTGGAGTATTTTAAGTGTGTGTGTGTGTGTAAAGGAATTACACAAATTGCTAGTCTCACATGTGGGAACCATTTTATAGCTTCTCTTCATAAAGCTAATGTACCTGCATTTAGCTTTTTTTTTTTTGTGCGTGTGTAAGAATGACCCAGGAATCAATGTACTTGTCCATGATAAATGTGCTGCTTTAACTGACTGGCAGAACAACCCTCAGTCTCAGACCAAAGCTGATACCTTCAGCAAGAAGAAAGCGGAGGCCCAGCATGAACTTCGCAATCTAAAGAATGACTGGGTTAAAAATAAAGCATGTGAAACACACAAACTTGCAGATCAGCACAAGATGCACAAATTTTTCAATTCCACTAAAACATTTTATGGGCCACTACCATTCACTGCTCAACCGAAACGCTGAGTGGATATTCTGACTACCCAGCAGGTCCCTCAGCATCCAGAGCTGACCCATCTCAGCTATCCTCCATCCCTGGATGAGGTAGTTACTGCCATCAAACTGATGAAAAGAAATAAAGCCTCAGGGCCTGATGGAGTCCCAGCCAAGCTGCTGTATAAAGCAGGAGGATTGGCCATGTTACCCGCATGGATGACAGTAGACTGTCAAAGCAGCTACTTTACAGTCACCTGACGAATGGTCAACGTAGCCCTGGCGGGCAACGGAAAAGGCATAAGGATAGTCTTAAGACAAACCTGAAAAAGTGCCAAATTGATTACTCCACACCGTAACGCTTGGAGGAGCACCACACAAGAAGGTGTCATTACTTTCGAACTAGCCTACCTGTAAACTGAGGCAGACAAGTACCAACGCCTGAATGACGTTGCAATCGCTCCTCCTGCACTAGATGTAGCCCCATGTGCAACATCTGTGAATGACCCTGCTGGTCCTGTATCGGCCTCTTTAGTCACCTTAAACTCGCCAACGAAAGTGACATCCTTAATAACTCCTATCACTGTCTCGTAGCTGGATGATCGTCATATTCCGAGTGACAGTAAAGTAGTAGTGTAATAATAAAAGTTAACGGTTTATTGAAAATGTTCTGCAGCCCGAAAATATACATTAGACAAAAATGACTTATTATATACAAAGTCATGGGGTAGGTTGGTTGTTTAACAAAAGCATTCATTCCTAAAAGGGAAAGGAACATGAATTGAACTTACAAATTATTATAGTTTACAGTTGATGGCTCGGGCAGGTCTCTTTTCATACTGTGAGGTCTCATAGGCCACGTGGCTCAGTAACTCGTCTATAGGTGTTGATATGAAGGACCTCACTTGGTCCTGGAGACATCGAGTGGTGTGATGTTCATGTGGTGCAGTGACTCGTCTATAGGTGTTGATATGAAGGACCTCGCTTGATCATGGAGACACCGTGTGGGGTGGGGTGGTGTCACAGTACCCCACTCTGGCTAGGTAGTGGTGTGTTATGATCAGGTGTAAAGCTGACCCACTTTTGTTCCCAGGGTGGACTGATTAACACCGCCTGGTCAGAAGATGGTGGTCGGTTCCCAGGGGTGCTTATCTCACTACTGGGTCGCACTTTCGCTGGTACTGTCTAGTGCTGAATTCACTGGCTTAAAACACTTCATCACTGTTCAATACTGCTTCCACTTCTTTCTGAAACGGAATTGTCACTTGACGGGATTATATCGATATCCCGGTGGTGAGGATGGGTAGAGGATAGGGACTTGTGGAATGGGCCAATATTGGCCAAGGGTGGTAGCTGTGCAGCGCCTGATAGGTCTTGACCCTCCGGTAGTCAAGGATGTAGTGTGTGTGTGTGTGGGTAACCCTTGGTAGTTCCCTGTTTCAGTGCTGTTACCTCCAGCCTTGGAAAGGAACAAGGATGTTGTCATTGGTCTATGTATAGGAGATTGCTTTCAGCCATCGTCACCCCATCATCCTTAAAGGGTTAAATTTATAGCCTAGATCACTGATTTTCTTCTAAACAGGAACTGGGCAATAGTATAACTTGATAATTATGATAGTGCTCACAAGAGTGACGTACTGATAGGGCTCACAAGAGTGACGTACTGATAGGACTCACAAGAGTGACAATAATGACAGGGCTCACAGGAGTGACAATAATGATAGGGCACACAAGAGTGACAATAATGACGGCACACAGGTGTGACAATGATAGTGCTTACAAGTGACAATAATGATGGCTCACATGAGTGACAATAATGACAGGGCTCACAAGAATGACAGTACTGATAGGGCTCATAGGAGTGAGAGGAACCATTTTACCAGTAAGGAATTATTTTTGCCTGTTGTAAAGGACAGGAAGGGTAATGTCACTGGTCAGTGTGTGTGAGTGAGTTGGCACAGAAAGGTAGACATGCTAGTCATTGTTTTCAGGTGGTTCCGAGAGAGGTGTAGCTCTTGTGGTGGTCCAGTGACCCAGGCCAGTTTTAGGAAGTTAGATTAAGTGTGTCAGTGAGGAGAGTCTGTATTGTATGAAAGTTATATTTTTATTGTTTAATGTCTTGAAACTTTCAGAGTTTATAGCATGTGTCTATACCCTGTAATTTATATCTGCCCTCGTGTACTCTTAGTGCATGAAATATAATGTCAGAATCCTGTATGGCACATTGTTAGATCATTGTTGTCCTTTGGTGCCATAGACTGTAAACTGAGGAGACTGCCCTCTGAGTTCTCCAACATATTAAAAAAAAGTTGAAAGAAGTATATATTTTGCAGATCGTGTTTCCAACAGTATACTGTAGATCTAAATTTTTTCTTGTGTTACTGCATGTTATATCCTTGACAAGTTGCATCTATGGAACTCACTCATGACATCTTCACTAAGCAAAACAAAATTTAATTCTAGTTCTGCTACTTGATCACTAAGGAGTACAATTTTATTTTCTTGCATTCTTTTTAATTTTGTTATTTTCTTTGCCATTGATTGGCTCATTAGCCGCTTGGGCGGTCGGTCACGTCTCTGTTACGCACTGTTGGCAAGCACTGGCTCCTGAATGTAACTGTACCTGGTCCAGTGTGGGTCAAGTCTGGTCTTGAAACAGCTCACACTCTGTGCTGCCACAACACTGGCAGAGTGTTTCAAGAGTTTACAGTTCTCACTTCACTTGTAACATTTTTGTTCTACCTTCAGAACAATTTCCTCACCTCACAACACCCTCTTTGCTGGTTACTAGCAACCTCTCAAGTAGAAAATGTGGCTCATATGGCTTTCCCGGGAACTGAAATTAATCTTAAAAATATTTAATGATTTTCTAAGAAACATTAGAAAAATATATCCAATGGGTTTGTAACATTTCGCCGAGTTTACCTGTGCAAAAATTTCGGTTTTAATTTCTTCATGAATATTTGATTAAAAATATTTTACTTTAACTTCCCTGGAGACGTGATCCTCCTCTGCTTCTGGTCGTAAATGATCTAATCTATGAGTCGTCTGTAGGTGCAAGTATGCCTGCCGTTGAAAGAGTTGTCTGTGCTGAATTCTAGTGAGATGTACCACACTGGTCATGGTCCTTGTCCATTTGAAAGTACCCCTGGTACAGTTAACACTGCAAAGTAAAGGAATGTGACAAAGAGGTAGAGTTATTTTGAAGTGAAGTATCAAACCATGACATGAGGAAGCTATATACAGTACTGAAATAGCCCTAAATTTAAGAGTGCAATTAGTTTACTCAATGAAAATAAACACAAGATATCACATTTTATTATCTGGTTCTGTACCTGTACTATGAAAATAATCAATGAAACTTATTATGTAAGGACTTTGTGAAATGACTTTTGCTGTTTTAATTTTCTACTGTTATATACTGTACAGTACTCTGGGATCCATATATATCCAGTTCTGAAAATAAACCATAAATTAATGCAGTCTTTCAATTAGAATACTGTACAGTATTATTGTTATTTACCATATCCCTCCCACTCTCTCCAAGGTGATGAACTGTAAAACTTTTGTATTTCACCATGTGATCCAATTGATCACATATTCCATTTAATGACAACACTATTACATAAGTACAGTACTGTAACAAACCCTATACCATCATAACACTGATTAGCAGTGAAATATTTCACTGTAAATTATATACTGTACATTTTAAAATTATTCTCGAATATCTTCGCAGAGACACAATCTGGAAAACACATGGCATCTGGTGGCCTGCCCAGTCAGCAGCTCGGTTACACATCTCTCTACTGTATGTTTATTTTTCCATAACATTTTCTGCATTCTTGAATTGTTCCATACAGTACTTCTTCTACTTTCACCCCAAATTTACAAGTGTCCATCTTGTCTCCAGTCATTTCTTTAAATCTCAGCTATGGTCTCAATATTCATAACCTATATTCTCACTTCTTAAATCTCTTACCATGAACTTTCCAATTACTGTTAATCTGGTTAAGGAGTATGTTGTTCATTTGATTCATCTATCTACCATCTTATAAACTAATAATCCTGTTCTTTGTAGTATCACACCTCCAAGAATACTGAAACATTATCCTCCCAACCTTCACATCTCCAAAATT